GGGAAGCACAAATGCAGAAACAGAAAATTATAGGGTATTACTACTTCAAAAAGACTGAAAACCACAGCCTAAGATCGTAGAAATTTTAGAGCTAGGTTGCGCATAGTCTCATTTTAATGAAGGACTTTGTGAAAAAGAGTCTGATTACATAAAGAAATGTTCTCAATTTGCAGGAAATAATTCTTTCTGGAGAAAAAGAAAGTAATGTTTAATACACTCATTATTTTCACTCGGCTCGTTTACTGAAAGCATGCCCTGTGCCCAACACCATGCTAGGGAGTAAAATACAGTAATGAAAAACACACATCTTGTTCTCTAGACTAACTAGGGAGATAAACAAGCAAAGGAATAATGTAACAAATGTTAAAAGAAGTATGCATTAGGCGGGACCAGCTGTTAGCATAATGGCTATGTCACTGGGCCCCCATGTAGTCAGCCGTGGTTTGAGTCCCGGACCTGGTGGCTTAAAACTCACACCAGGCATGTGTACGTGTGTGCCCAAGATCCCGAGGGGAGAATGGAGAAGGGATTGCAGCATGGCCATCCCCGCCTTGGGGGGTGATTTCTCGCTTTCTGTCTCTCTGTCTCTGTCTGTTTGGCGCACGCACCCTATAGCAAAAACCTCTCAAAAAAAAAAAAAGCATGATTTTTTCGATAACCCAATATGATAATCCTAGTAGGTATTATCTAGAGAGGACAGTCTCTTGCTCTGTCTTGTGAGTGTACATGCCCTATAGCAAAAACCTCTAAAAAAAAAAAAGAAAAAGAAAAAAGAAGTATGCATTAGGAAGACCTGTGGGAAATAGGGTAAGAGTGATGCACAGAAACTGTTGCTAGCATTTTGGATTTAATTCTGTAAGTCATGGAGACCCATTAAGCAGACGTGCTAGAATTTAATTTTAGAAAAATCATGCTGTAGAGCCAGATGGTTATGCCATGGTAATGGTAATGGAACTGAACCCACATGGGAAAGGTCCTAGGTTCATATTCTGAGACCTTTCTGAACATGTGCTGGGCTGGCAGAGTGAATGTACTGCTGGGAGGGGGTGCTCATTTTTCTATTTTTCTCAGTCTCTCCTATAGAGAAAATAAATAAGCAACCAATATTTCATTAAAAAGAAAGGATCATGCTATTACTGTGAAGCATGGGTTGTAGAAGGGAAACAGCAGACAGATTGAGTTCCACTCTTCATAAAAATCAATCTACAACTTTCAGACCTGCCTTTTTGCTCTCTAATCCATTTTCCTTTTTTCTTCAAACACACAATTGAGAAATTTATCTTTTTTTTTTTTTTTGCTATAAGGCGCGTGTGCTCTACAGACAGACATAGAGACATAGAGACAGAAAGCAAGAAATCACCCCCCAGAGGGGATGGCCACACCATAATCCCTTCTCCTCCATTCTCCTCTCGGGATCTTGGGCACGCAGGCACACGCGCCCAGTGTGAGTTTAATCCACCAAGTCCGGGACACGAACCGCGGTCGACTACATGGGAGTCCAGCGACATAGCCATTACATTAACTGCTGGTCCCTCTGCTCTTTTAGTAGTGGTATTTAGCTTCCAAGTTTTTGATGTTTTCTGATATCAATGGTTAGTTTAAAATTTAATTCTTTTGTGGTCAGAATATATACTTTGCATGAATCGAATCTTTTTAAGTTTATAGAGACTTGTTTTATGGCTCAGAACCTGGTCTATCTCAGTCTATGAACCATGTGTTCTTGAATAGAACTCATAATGTATTGCTGGGTACTGCTACATGCTATAAATGTCACTTGTCATGTTGACTGTCTGGCTCAAGTCATCTATCTATATTCTATTTTGTGTAGTCTACTTCTAGCAAACATTGAGAGAGATGTATTAAAATCTCCAACTGTAACTGAATTTTTCTCAGTTCTTGCTTCATGTATTTTAAACATTAAGATTGGTATATCCTCTTACTAAACTCACTCTGGTCATTATGAAATTATCTTTTTTTTTTTTTTTTTTTTTACATATTCCTGGCACTATTCTTTGCTCTGAAATCTATCTTGTCTGATGTTATTACCACTCCAGCTTTTTGAAAGTACTGTGTATCTTTTTTTTTCAAGTTAGTGAGTACATGTGTACACATACACACGAGACAGAAACAGTGAGAGTGAGAAAGAAAAGCATCCTCAACAAGGTCTCTTCCTGCAACCACCCCTTTCCCCGAGCCTTGTAGCTAGTCATGACATATACTGGGATGTTTTCAAGTTGGCCCAGGAATCCAAAAGCATGGTCAGCCATGCACTATAATTCAGTTTGCTACTTACTGTGCCACCAGGCTGGGCCAATGTGATATATCTATTTCTATCCTTTTAATTTTACTCTGCTTGCACTTTATTTTTAAGGTTTGTTTCCCATTTGTAGCATACAGTTGGGCCTTTAAAAAAAAAGCCAATCTGTTACTAACTTAAAAACTTAAGAAATTGACCCAAAAATTGTATATATTTATGATGTATAACATGTTTTGAAATAAGGATACACAGTAGAATTACTAAACCAAGTTAATTAACTCACGTCACCTCATCTATTTACAATTTATTTGTAATGACAGCACAATCTACTCTGCTAGCACTTTTCAAATACACAATAACTGTGGCTACCATGTAGAGAACAGACCTCTTGAACTTATTCCCCCTAACATAAACTTTGTAACTTTTTTTTGTTTAATTTTGTTTTGATTGTTTTTAAAATATGACCAGAGAGAGAAAGAAAGGAAGGAAAAGTGAGAAAGCAATCCTCCAGGTCTGGGACTCAAACTGCAGTTGACCATGTGGGAGTCCAATACCTTAACCACCATGCCATCTGCCAGCCCAAACTTTGTAACTTTGAACCAACTTCTCCCTTCTCTACTACCTCCTGAGCCCCCCTTGGCAACCACCATTCTACTCTCTGAATTTGACCTTTTTCGATGCTACATATAGGGGAGATCGTATGGTATTAACAATCTCTGATTTTAATTAGTGTGGAGGGTATCTATGTAAATCTTTAAAAAGTAATTTACTATTTAAGTAAACATAATAAAGTATGAAACTTATAACTTAAGTAGAAGTAATATGTGAGGCCACAATAGCACAACAGTAAGAAGAGAAATAAAAAGTGTTCTACTGTATAAGTCAAACAGTATGTCACTTGAAGATAAACTGGTAAATTAAAAATGTGTATTACAACCCTAGAGACTCAACAGTAGCAATAGTAAAAGTAACACTTGGCAAGGCTGACTCACATGGGGAGGTTTCAGGTTCATGTCCAAAGACCTCCCTGAAAACGCTGAGCACACATGTGCCCACGATCTGGGGCTGGCTGGGGCTGAGAATGGATTGCACTTTTAAAGACATTGTTGGGTGTGCTGGTTCTCTCTCTCACTCATGAAATAAATAAACTTAAACAAAATATGTATATGCTAGAACCAGCAGTTGGCATAATGGCTATGTCGCTGGACTCCCATGTACTTGACTGTCGTTCAAGTCCCAGACGTGGTGTCTTAAACTCATGCCGGGCGCATGTGCCCAAGATCCTGAGAGGAGAATGGAGGAGAAGGGATTGCGGCAAGGCCATCCCCACTGGGGTGTGATTTCTCGCTTTCTGTCTCTCTGTCTTTCTGGTGAGCACACGTGCCCTATAGCAAACACCTCTCCAAAAAAAAAAAGAAAGAAATTATGTATATGCAACCCTAAATCAACCACTTAAGTAACGAAATGAAGAGTTACAGGTACTAAGACAACAAAAGAAAGTGAAATAAAAAATAATCCAAAAGAATACAGACAAAAATGAACAAATGGAATAAACACAAAAGAGCAAGATGAGATTTAACTATTATACCAATAATCACACTAACCATAATTGTCTTAAATGCCCTAATTATAAATCAGATTGTCAGGTGAGATGAAAAAGCACCTATGAAGCACGAACTGGTCAGATACTGAGCTAAGCACCTCATATGGTCTCATTTAATCTTAATATGAATGTGAGGTAGGTATTAGCATATCATTTTAAAAACTTTAAAAAAAAGCCTTGGAGAGGTTAAGAAACTTCTCCAAGCAGCACAGAAGGCTTTACACTCGGGCACTGCAGAGTGTTCGTAGGCCTGTAACAGGTTTCTTTCCTGCCTTCAATTCAACAACGCTGAGGTTCTGGCTACCTGGGGGAACTGTGCCAGGTGCTGTTCTACATGGCAACGACTGCCTCCATTTGGCATGAAAGTCAACCTGGCCGGCTGTTTGACCAACGGCTGTGCTATTATAATTCCTGATGCTCTGGCTTCCTTATTTGTAAAACAGAAATATACCAGATTCGCAGTGTTATTGTGAGGAAAGGATGAGACAATCCTGTAGGTAGCTTATTAAGTAGGGGTGGTTAGCTGTTTTTCTTCTGTTAAGCTATACCCTGTGGATCACAGAAACACCGATTTGTACAGCTCCAAATCAACTGTGTATATTACATAAGATGACATATACTATTGTTGTTTTACCTGCAGGATTACAGAAATATACCACAGAAGTTAACTGTCTCATTTTCATTTTATTGTATTATATAAAGTTTTGGTTGCGCTGAGAGGCTTCTTTGAAAGAAGACTGATTACATCACTAAAATTCTAAAAGAAGAAACTAACATTTTATATAATGCAATAAGGTAAATATGAGACACTTTATATATACATACATACACATGTATATGTATACATATAATCATATGTATACAACATCATACAAAACCTTTAAATATATTCCTTGAAAGAAAAAAATGAATTACAAAACCCAGTTTAGATCAAACAAAACTGTCAGCTGAACAGGAAGCTAATTAGTCTTCCAATAACAGAGTAATGCTCTTCCTGAACAAATAACTAAAGGAGACAAAATTTCAAAGATATTTTATTCAAAATTCTCCATCTAGGAGAAAAGATATTTAACGATGTTTATACATGCTTTAATAACTTATTTCACTGTACAACTTACATTCTATATAACAGTATAATAAACCAACACAAGTAACTAATCAGCACTTAAATAACCCAACATGTGAAAAGCTCTGAGCATGGGACACTATGGGAGGTATCCACCCATTTAACAGTACATCAGTTATCCAGTTCAGTATTTGTCTAAAAATTAAAATGTCTGTCGTTTCTGACTCATGATGTAAAAACTATGATGACCTTTCAGAACAAAATATCTTGTTCGTTAAATTTGGTGGGTGAGAGCAGAGGGCTCTATTCCTTTTGTCCCTATCTTATAAAATATATTTTCCCTTTTGTGTTACATCCACAGTTTTTTAAAAAAATTTTATCTGCGTTTGTGTACACTACTGTGTCTACACTGTTATAGCACACTTATGTTATTCCATTACCATCTAGTCAGCACAATGGTCCAAACACATTAAGGAAACAAACAAAAACGATCTCTTAGTTTTGCCAAAGAAGCACCTAGAAAAATAGCACTTCAGTAAAGTTTCTCCTGCTATTCTTTATATGATACAGCAACATGGCAACAACTTCAAAAATAATGGGCAGAAATGTAAGAAGGAAGAAAGCAGGAAACTGCTCTCTGTTCCTGAAAAAAAGATAATTTTAGTTAGCATATTCTGTTACATTTCATAATTTCAGAGTTACAATGATTGCCAAGTCAGGTATATGGTAAGAATGCAAGAGGAAAACAAGATGGAAATGACTGACCAGTGAAATCTGAACTTTAAGTGATTACATTTTCCATGAAAAAAAAAAAAAAAAAAGGCACAGGAGGTGCACATTTCAATTTGGCTCAAAAATAATAAAAATTAACTTACAAAGTGGCAAAAACTACTAAAACATAACATTGAATTTCCTATATTTTCTTGGACAGAGCTCAACTGTATAGGATATTGACGACAGTAATAAAATAAACAAAAAATCCTGACAGCAGTTCACCATAATCAGGGACCATATGTAACTGTCTGTCACTTGTACCCAGGCTGAATCCTAAGGACTAAGTCTACAAAGCAGATCTAATAATTAATTTCAATTAGATGTCTGCTTGATTAATATTTTCTTTCATAAGCTTAACCTATATTCACACTAACTTTCTTTCTGTGGAACTAAAATGATCTAAATGCTCTAATATTCAGTCAATTGAAAAAGTATCACAGTAATCCTATACGCTCAGGAACACCAAAGATGGAAAGTCAACTAGTATTCTATCTGTAAAAGCTAACTTAGATTTCACTTTGATATCTGTAAACCATGGATCGTAAGTTTCAAGAAACAGTAGCTGTGGTCAAGTTTATATCCTATTATTCTATCTTTAAAAGATGGCAAGAATATTTATTGTAATTGTAAACATAAGTCTGTATTCCAACAGAACACATCTAGGAAAAAAGACATCCAATCTAACGGTGCACCTGACATCCCTTACAGCCTTCTTGTGACAGCTGTAGTGTAACTAACTCTAATTGCAATTGCTGAGTAGGACTCTGGGCGGGGCATGACCTGGGGAAGAATGTCTTCCACACCACTGAGCTACGTTAGCAGCAATCATGATTATGGTAATGAACAAGTTACACATTTAAAAAGTCATTAGAACATCTCGTTCTTGTACACTAGTGTAGAAAGGTCTTCCAAAGATAAAAGAATGTAGGCCTGGTTTAATTTTCTCAGCTAGAGCCATTATTATGTTAAGATCGCCCTCTGCTGTTAAATCAAGGTCTATCTTCAGGTTCCGAAGAGATTTAAAGGGCTTTTTCCCCTTCTGCCTACAAGTAATGAAACAAAACAAAAACAAAAAAGAAAGTATTTACAATACAGAAAAGGTCCAAAGAGAACAAAACACAAAGTTCAAAGATTTTTCTTTTGTCTGGGAGTTTTACTCACGTATCATCTTCTATATATTTTATTAGTGTCAAGGCTTTTCTGTGAAGGACAAGCAGGAACTGTGCAAGGAAAGTACTCCTGAGGGATAAACCAGGTTTCAAATGAAACACCTGTAGGAAAATAAACCATTTAAATCCACAGTTTGCTCCCATCCTATGTAGAGCATGTTTCCATAACAGTGTTGACAGTGCCTGGCAGACAGGACATAACAGAGGCATCTCCTCAACCATTTCCACTAACAGCAGCATGGTGGCAGCACTGTCTCTGGAAGCAATCCAACCGGTTTATGAAGGGCTTTTATCTTTAAAAATGTACTCAAATTTTGCATTTCATGTGAGAATATGTCCATGTTCATTCATTATTAAATATCATTATGGGCCCAGCCAAGGCAGGGTGTGTAGCTATGATGCTGTGCTCTGCAGGCTGGGAAAACATGGGAGGCCTGGGTTTGATCCCTGGTCCAATCGCAAGGATGGGCACACTGTGTGCACCTGTAATCCCATCAACTTGGGAGGCTGAGGGAGGAGGATTGGGAGCTTGAAGCTGGCCTGGGCAACATAGCAGAAGCCTGTCAAAAAAAAAAAAAAAAAAAAAAAGTGGGGTCCTTTCATTCTGTTAGTTATTTTAGTCGTATTGCATAATTTTTTCTGCTCGATTCTTCGAAAATTTGAAATTGAAACTCCTGGAAGTTGAGACTATGGTTTTGAGATGTTCACCTAGTGATACTTTCATGGAGGAGGGGAAAGTGTATATGTGTAATATGTGCCTTTGTTGGGGTGAAGAAAAGGAGGAATTTTGGTTTTAGCTTGAAGAAACATGAAATTCCATGACTATGAATTATCGTTGCTCTTTGCAGTATGTGACAGATCACACAGACCTGGATCCAAAATCTCTGGTTAACATAAGGATCTCATTATTTCAAGCTATAACTATGACACAGGTTCCTGGCTTGATTCCTAGAATGATATTACCACAAAGCTGTTCTATTAAGAAGTCAGTCCCATATGATTTTCTTCAAATGTGTAATTAACAAGATATTTTTAAAACAATCAGACAATAAAGATACTATAATTGAGGGACCAGCAGATGGCGTAATGGTTATGTTGCTGGACTCCCACGTAGTCAACTGCGGTTGGAGTCCTGAACTCAGAGACTTAAAACTCACACCAGGCATGTGTGCATCTGTGCCCAAACAGATGAGGAAAAGAGAGAAGGGATTTAGTGTAGCCATCCCTCGAGGGGTGATTTCTCTATTTCTGTCCCTCTAGCAATCAAATGTGCCCTATAGCAAAAATTTCTTTCTCTGAAAAAAGGGAAAGAAATAGTATACCAAATTTTGAAAACATTTTTGGCTTAATTATGGCAAATAACCTCCCAACCCTCACCAGAAAAACAAACCCTTGAATTATAGGTTACTGCTGAAATGAAATGAAATTATTTATCTGAACTGAGAAACTCTGCATCCTTAACTGTTCATATATTAGCTACAAAGAAAATTATTCAGACACTTTAGAAAGACCAGAGACAGTACAAAACTGTAAGAACTTAATTATAAATGTTACATTCATAGTACAGGCATAGTAGGATACATTAAAAAAGAGAATGTGCGGTATCATTCACTCTGACAATTGCAGGCTCAATGTTTACCTGATCCAGGAAGGCTTTTACTAGAGTATCTCTGTGTAAGACATCTTGAAAAATATTCCTATGAAGAAAAAAGTCCAAATGTTAAAATGGCTATACAATGCTCCCTTCCCCAAATCTATAATTCCCTCATTCTAGCCAATAAATTAAATTCTTAGGAATGGGATATAATTTATCAACATATTAGTAAGAATATATGTTTCTATTTGGAACTGTAAAATATATATTCATTTTAACTCAAGGATATATTTTGTATATTACTGGGGTTTGTCAGGCTAATATGTAATTATTTTTTCTAAAGGGTATAATCAGTCCCCAGTAATGATGGTGTATGTATCTATCAATCCATTTTACTATTCTCACCCTACAAAATAAGTTGAGAATTTTAGCAATTAATAAATATAACTACTTATTCTTGCCATCTCACACAGGCATGCAAAACTACCAGCAACAAAAATAAACACACCACTACTATCACCAAAACCCAAAACAAACTGAGGACAAATGCTAAGAAACATTTGAGAGGATTAAGGAACAGACCCAGATGATTACCCAAACATCAGGATCTGTGTTAACACCAACAGGCCTCTCTCTGCAAAAAAGGGAAACTAGCTATCCAAGAAAGTGCTAATTTGCTTTGGGTAGTTCACTCGAGTGAGAAGTTGAGATACAATGCTCACCTGAAAAAACACTGTGTGTATGTTTATAGTAGGGGCTAAAATAAACAAACAAAAACAAATAAAAAAGACTGTTTCCAGGTCACTCTGTAGCCAGGTGATTGAGGCAGCTGACCCCACACCACAGGTCCCATGGTTTGAGTCCCAGACTCTGCAGCCTGAGAAGTCTCAGTGTGTGTCCAAGTCCTGAAAGTCAGGAGAGATGGAGGAAAAGGGATTGCACTTTCTTTTTTTGGAGAGGTTTTTGATATAGGGAGCATGTACTCTCCAGAAAGAGAGAGAGAGACAGAGACAGAAAGTGAGAAATCACCCCCCACAGTGGGGATGGCCACGCCGCAATCCCTTCTCCTCCATTCTCCTCTTGGGATCTTGGGCACGCAAGCACACGTGCTTGGCGTGAGTTTAAGCTGCCGGGTCCAGGACTCGACTACATGGGAGTTCAGTGACGTAGCCATTTCGCCATCTGCTGGTCCCAGGGAGTGAGCTTTCTTTCTCTTTTTCTCTCTCTTTCCCGGGGAAGTGCACATGCCCTCTAGCAAATTTAAAATAAAAAAAAAAAAAAAGACTGTGACCTCCCTCTCTGGTCCCACTCTTTCATTTTTTCTCTTCCATTTTCCCCAGGTTCTACTCAGAACAGAAGGGTAATACATGGGGTCTTCGAAAAGAAAAGATCAGGGAATGTATCTATTATGAAAAAGTTACACATGGATTTTAAATTTTTTGCACCAAAATAAACTCGAATTAATATTGTACAATACATCTGACAGGAGCTAGTTTAAGGTACCAAGAAGAATAAGACATTAGTTTGAAAAGAGCCTCTATCAAACTAATATAAATTCTGCTAAAATTGGAGCAAGATTATACATCATATTTATGGTAAGGCATGGGTGGAAGAATGGTGAAATCATCAATTCTTTGCAAAAAGTTTATGGAGACAATGCCCAAGGAAATCAGCATTCTCCAAATGGAAAACTTGTTTCAAGGAGAGATAAGACAATGCTGAAGAAGACTCCTGCAATTGTAGACTGTCCACAACACTTTGCAAGGAAAAATTAATCTTGATTAAATGAAATAAAATACAGAGATGATAAAAATAAAAATGAAATAAAAACAAATAAAACCTACAAAAAATTGGAAAAATTAATTATTTGTGCCCTAATTGAAGAAGACCAACAATTAATAGCAGAAACAATAGACAACATCATAGACAGCTCAATTGGTTCAGCCTACAAATTTCTGACTTAATAATTAAAGTAGAGCATATTTTCTGCTTGATGAGTGCCAAAACCTTAGGGCCTAGATCAGCCATAGAATAGAGCTTTTTTTTTAAGAGGTTTTTTTTTTTTTTTTTTTTTTTTTTTTTTTTTTTTTTTTTTTTTTTTTTTTTTTTTTTTTGCTATAGAGCAGTGTGCTCACCAGAAAAAGGGACAGAAAGAGAAAAAACACACCCCAGGGGGGATGACCTTCTCCTCCATTTTCATCTCGGGATCTTGGGCACACACGCACACATGCCCGGCATGAGTTTAAGCCACCGGGTCCAGGACTCGAACTGCAGTTGGCTACATGGGAGTTCAGCAACATAGCCATTACGCTAACTGCTGCTCCCAGCTTGCTTTTCTCTTCTTCCTTTCTTTCTTCTTTTTGGAGAGGTTTTTGCTATATGGCACATGTGCTTGCCAGAAAGAGAGAGACAGAGAGACAGAAAACGAGAAATCACCCCCCAGGAGGGATGACCATGCCACAATCCCTTCTCCTCCATTCTCTTCTCAGGATCTTGGGCACGCATGCACATGCACCTGGCATGAATTTAAGCCACTGGGCCCAGGACTTGAACTGCGGTCGACTACATGGGAGTCCAGTGACTAAGCCATTATGCCAACTGCTGGTCCCAGAAGTGAGTAGAGCTTTCAACAGAAATTTTAAATAAGTGGGATTAAGATCCTGAAGCACTTCTTTGAAGAACTATAGCATGAGATGACATGTGACTTCAGCAGTACGTTCCTAGAGACAAAACACAGTCAAAGCAATATGGCTACAACGGGTGAAAGCAAAGTAAAAGCAGACTAGCCAAGGGCAAAGGTTATGCCAGCCGTTTCTGGGGTGCTCAAGGCATTTTATGTTTATTAACTTTCTGGAGGGCCAAAGAACAAAACATCTGTTTATTATGAGAATGGTTTGAAAAAGCTGAAGATATAGAGAAAAATGCCAGAGAGCCCTCCTCAACCACAATGCTCCTGCCTTTTCTTCTCATCAAACAAGGGTGATTTTTTTGCATCTAGCTTGGAAATCATTAGCCATTACCTTAGAGTCCTGATTTGGCTTCTTCTGAACTTCTTTTTGTTTCTTAATTTTAAAAAAATATTCAAAGGGCATCTATTTTCCTTCTAATAATATTGAAGACTGTATTGACATGGTCAGGTTTCCAGGACCCTGTCCTTTAGGGATGGACTAAACAGTTGATATCGTCACTTAACTAAAGTGTTGTGAACTTGATATAGCTTATGTAGAGAAATAAAGTTTGTATTTATTTTTATGTTTTTTTTTTTTAGAAAGATTTTTTGCTATAGAGCGCAAACACTTGCCAGAGAGACAGAAAACAAGAAATACCCCTAGGGGATAATGACTATGCCACAATCCCTTCTCTTCTCAGGATTTTGGACACACATGCACATGTACCTGACAACCCAGCTAGGTGTGAACCTAGGTGAATTACGGAAGCTCTCAAAGCCTCCTCTTTTCTATTAAAAAAAAAAATTGTGAGACCAGTAGATGGCATAATGGTTATGTCACTGGACTCCCATATAGTCGATTGCAGTTCAAGTCCTGGACCCAAAAGCTTAAAATTCACACCAGGTGTGTGTGCGTGCATGCTTAAAATCCCAAGAGGAGAATGAAGGAGAAGGGAGTGCAGTGTGGCCATCCCCTAGGGGGATGATTTTTCATTTTCTGTCTCTCTCTCTCTAGTGAGTGCACATGTCCTATAGCAAAAGTTTTACTTGCACAAAAAATGAGCATTAAGAAAAAAATGTTTGATTAAATGCTTCTGCAAGCTTAATTCTGCCAGGAATATTGTGGAAGGCTACATACTGGATTTTGCACATGAACAAATGTTTGTCCATTTTGTACCCTTCCCCTAACATGGCTGTCTGCTTCTGTAAACCTGCTTGCTCTTCCCATGAGAAAATAGCTAGTGCTAAAACCGCATCCGGGACGAAATCCTGTACCTGCTACTGTCTTTGCTAACTAGCCTGAAACCCTTTTGTTTAGCAATGTAACTGCTTACATGGAAACCCCACTCCCCTCAGAAATAATTAACCTGCTTGATTCAGCTTCTGTAACTGCCTGCATAGAAACCCTTGGTAACTGACTGCCTGTAAAAAGACTACTCCAACTGCAGTCGGGGCTACAGTTCTGACTCTTGGTGCCCCCTTCCCCCCGAGCCTCAGACTGTAGTTGCTGGCCAGCTAATAAAGACTCCCTTTAAACTTAATCTGGCTTTGGCAGTCGTTCATTTGGTGGCACTCTACAACAATATCTCTTCTGAAACACAACTTGTTTTGTTGTTATTCAGAAATGATACAGGTCCACATTGCTGTTAGCCAATAATATCAAAAAGCAGAACTTTACATACAAATCAGGGGTGAAGCTTTCGTCTGTGTAGATGATTGTATCTTGAGCCATGTCTTCTTCTGAAGTGGCTCTCCAGAACGCTGTCAGCTCTGATCTCATATATCTGCGCTGATTATAAATATGTTCGTGGCAAGGTGGCATCTGCTTGACAGTATTGACATCCACGTCTATGTGTGTGGTGGGATACGGAGCATACATGACTTGTCGGAAGGGTAGCACAAAGCTGCCAGTTGAATCCTGTCAAAATGAAAAGAAAATTTACATACCAAATGATATGAAGAATTATGTATTTTTTAAAAGAATTAATTATTTAATTTTATTTATTATGATCATTATTATTTTAATTCCCCAGAGAGAGACAGAAAGAAAGTGAGAAAGCAAGCTAGCAGGTCCAGGACTCAAAGCACGGTCGGCCATGTGGAAGTGATAATCCAGCGCTTTAATGACCACACCACCTGCTAGCCCCAAAGAATTATGTTTTAATTAAAGAAACTGGTTTTGATTTAGCAAATCCATTGCTAGACACTTATCCTAAGAAATTAAATCACAATTTTCTGCAAAGTTCAGGAGTGTTCACTACAGAGCTGGTTTTAATAGCAAAACATCAGAAACAATCCAACCATCCTCAAAACAGGACTGACTAAATACAGATTTATTGTTTAGCTACTAAAAAATGAAGTTGCAGAATTTCGTGCTAATATTGAAAGAAATTTATAATGTACTGTCCCCCAAAATGGATTAAAACACAAGAGTATAATCCAATTATAAGTAATGTTGAGGAGGACTGAAGACAATATATACAGGAAAAAAAGGCTAGAAAGAAATATGCCAAATATTTATGGTAGTTATTCAGTAAGTTATGAAACCATAAATGACTTTTTCTTTCTTATTTTATACTCATCTCAATGAGTTTTATTTTTCCCATTTGCTATCAGGTGCAAGAGCTCTCCAGAGAAAGACAGAGAGGGAAAGAGAGAAAGCCCCCTTGGGGGGATGACCATGACCATGTCGCAATCCCTCCTACATTCTCCTATTGTGATTCTGGGCACATACGTACATGCACCCTGCATGTTTTTCAAGCCACCAGGTTCACTGCGCATTTGGATTCACTCAAATGCACAACTGGTTCTGTGGAATCCAGTTGCCTTAACCACAATGCCACCTGGCTGGCCTGAATACAAATTTTTATAATAAGTAAAACATTTATTTCTTTCCAGGTACCGTCATCTGGGTAACCAGTTACCATGTAACAAATACCTATTGAGGTACTGTGCTGTGTGCTACGTACCAGAAGACGGGCTAGTTCCACTTTTTTCACTCTTAGAAAGCTGCAATTATTTTGGCATAATGTAAAGGTATTTTCTGGAAGACTATATAATTTAGACCTGCACAGAGAACTCGAATACTCTTTTCATTAAATCGTAGTTTCTAGTTTGCCTCCACACCTGGTATAGGTGTCTTTCAGGGATAAAATTATATAATTAAGTAAGACAGTGTTGCGAAAATAAAAGTATTGAGCATTTTATTGTATTATGCTTTTAACAGGAAGAAGTTCTTATTTACACACCGGTAAAATTCAAATTAGAAATGTGTTTCCTTTAACTAGTTCCTACATTTAAATACTATTATTTTGAATTTACAGCAGGCACAATACTGAAAATGCAAAAACTGAATTTGTATTTGCAACAATTTTTAAAATGTTTTTGTTTTGATATGCCGACGTCCTTAAGGAAGTATTCACTGAGAAAAATCACATAATCATTAGGAAAGTTATTTATTCATGTCATTGACTATAATTGAAAGACCAATAATAGATTCAATAAAGTAAACAACTATTTTCCTTTTAATTATTGAAAACAATTGCTAATTTACACTTATCTGTTTTGTTCCTTGAAAAGTATATTCGATTAACTAGAAGAAAAACATACAATTTTTGTCTTATGTATTAAAAACATAAATGTGTGTTTTTTTCTAATATAGATTGAACATCCCTAATCCCAAAATCTAAAATCCAAAATGCTTCAAAATCCTTAAGATTCTGAGCACCAACATGACCTCTGAAGTGGAAAATTCAACCCATGACCTCACAGGCAGACTGCAGTCAAAAAGCTGCATTACAGTCCAGCCTTGGTGGTGCAGGCAGTGGCAAGCATACTGAGCTGCAGTATAGAAGCCACATGGCTGACTGCAGGTTTGGGTCCCTAGCCTGCTTGACCTGAAACGTACCAGGTGTGTGCCTGTGACCAAGATCCTGAAGACCTACAGTGTTGGAAGGAAGATGGCATAAGGAGACCCCGTTGAGGTGCCTCTTTCTCTCTCTCGTGAATACACACATGTGATCCATTATAAATAAAATAAACTTTACCTTTGGCTTGCATGTATAAGGTGTATATTGGGTCATCAAAAAAGTCACAATGTATTTTTGCATAGAAAAACAGAAAAAATATGTCACGACTTTTCCGACAACCCAAATACAAGTGAATTTAATATTTAAACTCAGGTTTCATCCCAAGATATTTCGTTATATGCAAACAAATATTACCAAATCAGAAATGTGAAACACTTTAGTCCCAAGCATTTGAATAAGGAATAGCCTCTCATTCTCTCTCTCTCTATATATATATGTATAGGATTAGAGCATTCATACACACACACACACACACACACATGAATTGCTCTCTCTATACATATATGTGTGTGTATATATACATACACACATATGAACTGTTCAAATCCTATACATTTAAGATGCTTGAAAATTTTTTTTATATGAATGAATATGGCAATACAAACACAAAATGGTAAAACAAACTCAATTCTGGTCAGTGAAAAAGAAATGTTCCAATTTTATGTTTGATCTTAGCCCAAAAGCAGAGAAGTGATAAAATATTCACATTTCAGAAGTGCAGCCTGATTCAAGTATGTATTTAAAAACACAAAAAGTCCTAAAGTTAGTCTCATAGCTACAGGGAACACTTCTAAAACAAAGATATTCCACAGTGTTTCACTGATGATACTAACCATAAATCCGTAAGACATATAATCTGCTCAGAATTGTGTAAAGGAAGTTAGTCCTTTGGGCATATAAACATGTGGTGTACTGAATGCAAATATTTAAAATGCTTATAAAGAGTATCAAAAATTATTTAAAAAACAGGTTTATGACAAATGGAAACTATACCTTTAGCAGGCCCTGTACAAAGAGCCCTGACTCATATTTAAATGATGATTCTGTTTCACATAATCTGGAGCATTTTCTCTCTGCTGGAGTCAGAAAAAGGCATAACGTTCTCACTATCTATAAAAGAAAAGATTTTTACATTAAAACATGAAGAAAAAAGACCACTAGTTTGCTTATTAAAGATACTTGAATAAATTTCAGCTGTCCATAAAGTACATCCTGAGACGTATTCTTTAGTTAACCAGAATGGTCCATGGGTCTAACAGTCATTGCTTAAAGCAGGAGTTCTGTGGTCAAATAAGTTTAGGATATGCTTGATAAATTTACAACATGGTATCTCAAAGCCAGTAACATTTGAATACATTGACTCTCCTAAAATATGCAGATTTTTCTCTAACTTATTTGGCCATGGAACTGTTATTTCAATAGGAAATAATGACCTAATACAATTTTTGGTAGTATCTCCACCCTGCAGTAACTGCTTTTCAAACAAGCCAACAATTTTGGACAAGGCAACTAAATGCATTTAAATTAGGCAGAATTAGGCTTCTGTTTAATAGCTTACTCTGAGAAATCAATCACAACAAGTATCAAGGAGTGTTCAAATCTTTCAGTTTGATTTACAATAAGCAGCCCATTGGTGGGGATTTAGAAATCCCTGTTTCAAATAGGGTTTGACCTACAGCTCTACTAGAAAAGGCACTGGACTCTCACATGGCCAAGTTTGAGTCTCAGACCTGGCAGCTTGCTTTCTCACTCTTGTTCCTTCTCTTAGTAAAACTGAATAATAACAATAAATAAGTAAAATTAAAGTAAGTAATTCTTAAAAAAACCAAAAAACAAGTAACAATGTTGGAATTCAGAGGCATTATGTTAAAGCAGTGGTTTTCAATCGAGAAGGGTGGCAATATTTTTTTCTCAAATTAAAAAGACAAAAGGGGCAGCCCAGGGTCTAGCAGGTTGCATTGTGGTTAAGGTGCTAGACTCTCAAATGGCTGACCAGCTTTGAGACCCATACCTTGCAGCTTGAAAATCATACTGGGCATGCATGCATATGTGTGTGTGTGAGTGTGTATGTGTGTGCCCCAAATCCCAGGAGAATGGAGGAGACTGGATTGCAGTGTGGTCATCCCCCCTTGAGAGTGACTTCTCATTTTCCTTCTCATTGTCTCTCTCAAGTGCTCTAAGGCAATAACTAAAAAAACAAACAAACAACAAACAAAAAACAAAGGAAAAGGGGCAGCCCAGCTATAGCAGCACAGGCAGTGAGGGTACTGCCATGTGATGTTGGAAGCCATTTCAGAAGGCTTCAGGTTGTGTCCTGGGACTACCTGAACATGCTGGGAATTTCCTTGATCTTGCCAGGCTGCAAGGATAAGGTTGGACCACGGTGGGGAGACTGTCAAGAGTGTCTCTGCCTTTCTCTCATAAATGAAATAGGTAAACCTTAAAAAAGGAAAAAAGGGGACCAGCAGATAGCGTAATGGTTATATCGCCGGACTCCCACATAGTCTACTGCGGTTCACGTCCCAGACCCAACAGCTTGAAACTCACACCGGGTGTGTGTGTGTGTGTGCATGCCCAAACTCCTGAGAGGAGAAAGGAGGTGCAGGGATTGTGGTGTGATTTCTCACTTTCTGCCTGTCTCTCCTGCAAGTGCTGGTGTCCTATAGCAAAACTCTCTCTAAAAAGAAAAAAGGGAAGTTATTCTTCCTAAAAAGGATGGGGATGAGGAAATGCTCAAAAAAATACAGCCCCACCCATGGAGCATTTCTCCCTCCACCTAGCAGACTGAAAAGTCCTTCTGTAGAAACCTAAGGCTCTGAAAATCACAAATGGAAATCCTCCTATTCAGGGTAACTGAAATAACATGTAAATAAGATCACTTGCCCCTAGATGTGAAATAATGATTACATGAGAAATATAATTTTAGTCAACTGAAATTCATATGAGTACATAGAGTAGTTCATTAAAGAAAAAAAAAATTTTGATAAGAAAGTAATCATTCCCAACATATTTTTCCATAAAACTTTTTAAAAAGGTTTATTTAATTTTATTATTATTTGACCAGAGTGCGCGCGCGAGAGAGAGAAAGAAACAGGCAGACAGTCACCAGGTCTGGGACTCAAACTATGGTGAACCACATGGGATTTCAACCCCATAATCACTATGCCACCTAATGGTCCTTGAATAAGACTTTTAAAAAATTTTAGTTTTGGGGGCCAGCAGGTAAGATAGTGGTTAAGGCCCAGAACTCCCATGTGGTTGACTGTTGCTCAAGTCCCAAACCTGGTGACTTGAAACTCATGCCAGGCACATGTGCATGGGTGCCCAAAATCCCAAGAGGAGAATGGATAAGGGACTGCAGCATGGTTCCACCCCTGGGGGAGTGATTTCTTTCTGTCTCTCTGGGCACACATATGCACCCTATAAACAAAAAAATAAATAAACAAAAAACTCTGGGGGGAAAAAAAGAACTTTAGTTTTGCTTTGTAGATACATGCACTTATTACTACACTCTAATTAATGATCAGTGAAGACAAATATGAAATACCTTTTTTTAAAAAAATTTGCTACAGGGTGCATGTGTTTGCTAGAGAGACAAAGTGAGAAAACACCCCTTCAGGGGAGATGGCAATGCTGCAATCCCTTCTTTATTCTTCTCTCGAAATTTTGGGCATGCACGCACACATGCTGGTGTGTTTCCCAAGCCACTCGGTCCAAGACATGAGCTGCAGAATCCTCAGCCATGTAGGATTCAGTTGCCTTAACCACCATGTTATGGGCGGCCTTGAAATCTTTTATTAAAGGGGTTTTATGGCAGCCAGCAGGTGGCATGGTATTTAAGGCACTAGATTCTCACATGACCGACAACAGTTCGAGTCCCGGACCTAATGGCTGAAAATGACACCAGGCACGTATCTGTGCATGCCCCAAATCCTAGGAGAATGGAGAAGAAGGAACTGTGTCTTCTCAGGGGTGATTTCTCACTATCCTTCTTTCTGTTTCTCTCCAGTGAGTGTGCACATTCTATGGCAAAAGCTTTGAAAAAATAAAAAGGGATTTTATGACTGTATTAAGTCCTTTTATTATTTATTGCCTAATACATGGAAACATAATTGTTCATTAATTTTTCTTTTTAAATTCATCCATCTACTAGATCATCATCATGCATTTTTCTATGCAAAAATGCATCATGACTTTCCAGACAACCCAATATTTCTTCAATGAACAAAAGAGAGATAGACAGACAGAAATAGCACCTCCTACAGGATCCTGATGCCATGATCCATCCCTAGTTTCAAGTGCCTAGCCATACTCAGGAATGTCTCTGGACACAGACCTGAAACTTTCATGTGGGTTAGCCTCACAGAGTGTCAGTTTACCAATGTGCCCCCATCTGGCCCCTTATTAATTCTTTAATACTTCATATAGTACTAGAGAAAGTGGTCACAAACATTAATAAAACAGAACTTCCACTGACCACTGAATAGCAATACCTCCTCGAAAGGGATGAATTCAGGAGGAAAACTGGGACAAGAAAATTAAGAGGAATGAACAAAACATATTGCTCTGGAACTAGTACCAACGTACATGACTATTTTCATACTTATTAAAAACATCACTGGGAAATAGAAGTATTTTGAAAAATGTATTTATACACAACTGAGAGTGGTTCTTTTTTGGGGGGTGGGGGGAAGGTTTTGCTATAGGGCATGTGCGCTTGCCAGAAAGACAGGGAGAAACAGAGACAGAAAGCGAGAAATCACACCCCCCCACCCCCGGCCACACCGCAATCCCTTCTCCTCCATTCTCATCTCAGGATCTTGGGCACACATGCATATGCACCCCGTGTGAGTTTAAGCGACCAGGTCTGGGATTCATCTGTAGTCGACTATGTGGGAGTCCAGCAATGTAACAATTATGCCATCTGCTGGTCCTGAGAGTGGTTCTTATGAGTTATCAAAATGAAACTGATGAATGACTTCCTATTTACTCAGTTTATTTCAAACTAATTTTTTTAGATTATTGTCAAAGGTTGCATGCGCTCACTAGAGAGAGACAGAAGGAGAGTGAGAAATAACCCTTCAGGGAATATGGCCACACTGCAATCCCTTCTCCATCCTTCTCTCAGGATTTTGGATGCAAAACAGCACATATACCTGGCATGTTATTCAAACTGCCAGATCCGAGACTCAAGCTGTGAAATTGACTATGTAGGATCTAGCACCTTAACCACCATGCCACCTGCTAGCCTCAAACTCATTTTTGCCACAAGTTATCATAGCAAGTTGGTGAGATTATATTGCTTCCTTATACTACTAGAATATCTAATTGCAACCTAGTGATTAAATAATACTCCATGATGTGTTAGTTTTTAAAAGTCAGATCATCTTCTGCATTGTAAAGTAAATTACCTTATTCACTTTCTCAGCACTGCTACCTACTACCACAGAACAGCCACAGGTTTGCAAGTGTGAGCTGATGGCACTGTAAGTTAAAAAAAATAAAGATGAGAAAATATTAGCTATAAAACAATTTCACAAACTAAAAAAAAAAAAGGAAATGAATTTTGAAGAACTCCGAAAAGCTTATAAACGCTAAAGTTATATGCATAATGTATTTGTATAGGACTTTACATTTTCCAGGGGTCTTTCAGAGAAAGTCTCTCAACTGAACCTGAAAACAACCCAGTTAGTAAAAGATCATTTCATAGCTGAAAAAATTTGTGTGTCAAGAAGTAAATAATTTAAAGTCAAATGAGATTAAAAATAACATACAAGTGACTGACATTGAGCAGATTCATGACTAAAGTGCTTCTGATTCAAGCCATTAAGGTTTGAAGGCCAAATTCACTCCTGTCTCTGATATTTCATCATTAGCCTGAGGAAAAGACTGGACACAGAAGCAAATACTTGATCCTTTCACTTCTCATTTTTAAAAATAAAATTTTATGACAATCTGAATTTGTAAATAAACACTAATATAGTAGACGAGATAATACGTGTAGAGAACTTAGCATAGGTACTAAACATAGGCACTCAATAAATATTGGATATGACTATTATCATTTTCCTTAGAAGAAATATAAATAGAAAATATTAGGTATTAGCTATTATTAAGTGTTCTCTGTTCCAAACATTAATTATTTAACTTCATTTGTTAGAATTATTTTTTAATTTGACCAGAGGGAGAGAGAGTGAAAGGCAAAGTGAGAAAACAAGCTGGCAAGTCTGGGACTTGAACCCTGGTCAGCCATGGAGTTCAGCACCTCAACCATCAAGCCACCTGCCAGCCCCCCCAAACATTGTTTTAAGTGCTTTATATGATTTATCTTACTCAATGCTTACGACAATCCTATAACCTAGGTATTATTATTATTCTCATTTCACAGATGATGAAGTGGAGTAACACAGAATTCAGGTAGCCTGTTCAGGGTTATATAGAAATATCTCAGGTAAATCTGGTTTTGGAATCTATACTCTTAACTAAATTCCACTCTAAGCTAGAACATAACAATACAGATATAAATAATTTTCTATTATAGGCCTAAATAACTCAAGTCCATTTATAATGCAATTTAATTAGAGTTCTTAGTTTTAATTGTAATGAGATTAATTAGAGTTCTTAGTTTTAGCTGTAATGAGAAGTAAAACAAGAAACTAGAACCAAATAAGGAATCAAGATTTCTGGTCTGGCACTATTGAAACTCAGCTTCTTTAAATAATAAAAGCAGTAACATCATAAACATCACACACATATAATAAATGAAAAAGAACACACATTTAATCAATGGGTCAAATATACAATTTTGTCCCTAGCAGAATCTGAGTAGATAAGTATTCTATTTTCTTCCTTCCACATTTTGTCATAGGCAGGCATAAGATGTATATCTGCTCTACCCAGCTTATATAAAAAGAGTCAAAATTCTTACTTTAGAAGAAAGCCTTCATGACAACTGTCACCAATATCATCATCATTGAGTACTGTATCAGCTATCTAAAGTGCACAAGCAAACAACAAAACAAATTAGTCTGGCTACAACACAATGTTGAAATAATACTTTTAATACCCATGTTTTCTGAAGTCTAGATTCGCTTTGCCTTCATGTCTTAGAATCAAGACTCCCTATAAAAACAATCTCTGTGCAATACCATAAACGTTCAGAAGAACAAATGCGAAAGCTGCTCAGGCAGGTTAAGCAACAATTTTACAAGAACTTCCTCTTCTGAGCTGTCAGAATCAGGAACCAATCTTAATGACAAAGTCAGAAAGCAACAAGAACAGTGTCCTAAAGTTATCTTTGTATGCACAGTATGTGATTCAAAACTTCCTCAACAAATGATTAAGGAAACCACATTAGCGAAGATAACTAAATTTCTATTAGTAGCCACCAAGTTGCATATTCTGTTTCAAAAATGACTGTATTAAATACTAATTACTTCTATAAGGTCTAGAACTCTTCCTTCATATGAATAATAAAAATATGACTTCATATAAATAATACTGATGACAAATTATATACTACTAAAATTAGAATTAAAAAAATTAGAATAGTACTATATACATAATAGCAATATAACTCAAAGAAATTGATAATGGGTAGAACTGCTCCCATTTAATATTAGAACTTACATCTATTTCTTCAGGAACACTGTGTGATTTCATAGATGAAAGGAGTTCCATTACAGGAATTACTTCCCCAGTAAGCATTGGAATAATACTCTGACCCTGCACAATAAAGTAAAATGAAGTGAAGAAAATTACATCATATGGGATAAGCTGGTCAGTAAAAAAATCTAACACGAAGCCCAGAGTGTTGGTTTGACATTGCTACTTGGCAGGCTGGGACCACATGGGAAGGCAAAGTTTTATTTCTGGTTATCCTAAAAGCTGGGCACTGAGGTGTGCGCCTAGAGAAAGAGAGTGAAGCATACCCTCCACAGGGTCTGGTCACACTGTGATCCCCTTCTTCTAGTCATCCAGCCCATCTATCATGGATAATCGTGCATGTGCCTGGCATGTTTTAGGCTGACCAGACCTGGATTTGAACTACAGTTGTCACAATATGGGATCTTCCTTCTCTTCAACAGCATATTGCTGCTCCCAAACTTGAATATGAGGGATATTTAAAAATTAATAGGAAATGTGTATTATGAAAAAAAATCTATTCATATATTTTAAAATTTTCTGCACCAGAATAAAATCATACTTTAATTCTATTTTTCCATGAATTTTTGAAGTCCCCATTGTATATAAACTTTTAAGATACAGCTGAAATTTTTTTTTGGAGAGGTTTTTGCTATAGGGCGCGTGCTCTCGCCAGACAGACAGAGAGAGACAGAGAGATAGAAAGCGAGAAATCACCCCCCAGAGGGGATGGCCACGCCACAATCCCTTCTCCTCCATTCTCCTCTCGGGATCTTGGGCACGTATGCACACGTGCGCGGCGTGAATTTAAGCCACTGGGTCCGGGACTCGAACCGCGGTCGACTACGTGGGAGTCCAGCGACATAGCCATTACGCTAACTGCTGGTCCCTCCCAGCTGAAATTATTTTTAAGTCTTATCAATTTTCACCTAAATATATTTTTAAAATCATTTTTTAGAAACAATAAATTATTTTCCTCTCACATTTCACGAAATGATTTTATTCAAACTCTTTACATACATTGCCAAATTAGAATTGCTATCATCCCTATAGCCATTTTTGTTTGTTTTTATGTTTTTGCTATATGGTACATACACATGCTTGCCAAGGAGAGAGAGAAAGTGAGCAATCATTCCTAGGTGGGACAGCCATGCATGCCAAATCCCTTCTCCTTCATTCTCCTCTCAGAATTTTAAGCAGGCAAGCATTCACACCTTAAGTGTTTTTCAAGCTCCCAGAGCTGGAACTTGAAACACGTATTCTTGGCTATGTAGGATCTGGTGCCTTAACAACCAAACCACTGGCTAGCCATTTCTGAGTAACCTAACCCAGTTTTTTCATAGCCCCTTTCCATGGTAAGCAGCTTAAGAATTTAAATGTGATACTATCTCTGGAATTTTATCCTTAGCCATAGGCCCATTTATACAAATAGGAAATTTTAGTTTTGAAAATTCATCTGCTGGAGCGAGCAGATGCTGTAACAGTTACATCACCAGACTCCCACATGGCTGACTGTGGTTCAAATCCTGGAACCACTAACTTGAAACTCATGCTGGGTGTGTGTCTGTGCATGCCCAAGACCCCAGGAAGAGAACGGAGAAGGGATTGTAGCGTGACCAGCTTTGGAGGGGTGGAGAGGCTATTTCTCACTTTTCCTCTCACTGTTGCTATCTCTCTCCAGTGACTGCATAAACCCTAAGCAAAAACCCTTCACCAAAGGAAAAAAAAAAAAAAAAAAAAAAACTGCTACGATCACAACTCATTGCTTCTGCTTTTTTTTTTTTTTTAGAATTATTTCATTTTAATTATTATTTTTTAATTTGTTCTGGGGCACATACATCCATCAGAGAGAGACAGAAAAAGAAAAGTGAAAAAGCAAGCCACTAGGTCTGAGAATGGAGCCGTGGCCACCCATGTGGGAATCTAGTGCTTTAACCACCATGCCACCTACTAGCCTCTATTTTTGCTTTTTAAAGTAACATAAATGTTTTTTATAATTTCAATTATTACATATAATTCAACAATAATGACCGAAATCTCTTTAAATTCCCTTCCATGTAGAGGAGTTTTATCAGATGACAGCTATAAGCATCCAAAACTAGCACTGACTGAAGCTCTTTCAGACTAATGTATCTTCTCCAGGCAGTATTTATTGTTCAAAACAAAATAGCTGAAAACACATAATGTGAGATTTGGAAGGACTCAATTAAAAAGTAACTCCTTGTTTTTCAGAAAGGATAATTTTGGCATAATACTTGCCCTTAGCTTAAGCATCAACAGTGTTTCACATACACTCTCTCAGACATTTATCACTGTAAATGAATGGGTATCCTCAATAAAGCTCAACAAAAAACCCTACAAGTCTGAATGCAGAAGAGAATCTAAAGAAAATCCCCCAAGTTTCATTTCCCTAACTTAAACTTTACAGTAGGACAAGGTTTCCCCTTTGAAAATTTTGGTTTGTCCAAAATACGCTTTCCTTGTAACTTATAGGGATATTATAACGTTTTTAAGAAAAGCCCTTAAAAAAAATCGATTAATAGTGGTCAACTCAAATTTTCTTGTTTAAAAAAATATAATAAATCCTAATCCCAATAAAAGAATTCTATTTGGTCCTAGATTCCTTATCTTGCAATAACATAATGAATTACTCTATACCTAGTAGGTTAGAAGTTGGTGCAAGTCCTCCTCTTCTTGGGACCCTATTTATTGACTGCTAATTAAAGACTGGGCTTCTTGGAGTAAAGGAAAATCTTTTCTTGTAAGTCTCAGATCTTTCACTATTACCTCCCCTGACCTGGAAAGTTATTTACAGAAGGACAAACATATCTTTCTTTTTTAAGAGAGATTTTTCCTATAGGGCACATGTGCTTGCCTGAGAGAAAGCAAGAAATCACCCCCCAGGGGAGATGACCAAGCTGCAATCCCTTCTCCAATCTCCTCTTGGGATTTTGGGCATGCATGCACATGGGCCTGGTGTGAGTTAACCACCAGATCCGGGACTCAAACCAAGTTGACTGTGAGAGTCCAGCAATGTAACCATTATGTCATCTGCTGGTCCCCAAACATAATTTTATAAAGGAGATCATTTATAGGGTTTTATGTTTTCCTGGTTAATGCATGTTAATAAGAAAAATTACTAATTTTTTTAAGTTGCTAGAGGACACATGAACTTGCCAGAGGGAGAGAGGAAGACAGGCAGAAAACACCTCCATTGGGAGGCACAGTTATGCAGCAATCTCTTCTCCATTTTGCCAACCTACTGAGATTTGGGGCACATATACACATATCTGGTGTGTTTTTCAAGCTGCCAGTGCGAGATTCAAACCATGGTCAACCATGGGGAAGTAGCTTCCTTAGTCACCACTCGTGGGGGGTGCTTTCTCACTTTTCCCCTCCTCGTCTCTCTAGTGAGTGTACATGCCATCTATCAAATTAGGGGGAAAAAAGGCATAAACAAAATAGGTATCTCAGGAAATATATAAACAGTGTGTGTGTGTGTGTGTTTGTGTGTGTGTGTGTATGTGTGTGTATATATATATATATATATATACACACACATTTTTTTTTTGAGAGGTTTTTTTATGCTATTGGGCGCATGTGCTCGCCAGAAGGAGGCAGAGAGAGAGAAAGCGAGAAACCACTCCCCAGGGGGGATGGCCATGCCGTAATCCCTTCTCCTTCATTCTCCTCTTGGGATCTTGGGCATGCACGCACACATGCCTGGTGAGTTTAAACCACCAGGTCCAGGACTTGACCCGTGGTCAACTACATGGAAGTCCAGTGACATAGCCATTACGCCAACAGGCCTTGACCCGTGTTTAACTACATGGAAGTCCAGTGACACAGCCATTACGCCAACTGCTGGTCCCTAAACAGTGTAACTTTTAAAGATATGACATAAGGCTTTAAAGAAATATTGTGCTTAAAGATGTGCCTATACCCCCAGATACCTTAGTAATAACACTCATTCTCTTCCTGTTGTAATTATTTCTGTGGGACTGTTTGAGAAGCAACACCTTAAAGAAAATCCCATATATATAAAATGTTATATTTTTTACTAGGAACAAGTTATCTAAAACTTATTCTGTGAAAACAGAAAAAACAAAAGGGAACAAATATTAATTTGTAGATATAATTACTACTACTCTTTGTTTACTGATTTAACTTTTCAGGTCTGATATTTTAATCCAGTTTATTCTCTTTTATTTTTTTATTTTATTTTATTTTTTGGAGAGCTTTTTGCTATAGGGCACGTGCGCTCGCCAGACACAGAGAGAGAGACAGTGAGACAGAAAGTGAGAAATCACCTCCCAGGGGGGATGGCCACGCCGCAATCCCTTCTCCTCCATTCTCCTCTCGGGATCTTAGGCACGCACGCACAGGGCGCGAGTTTAAGCCACCAGGTCCGGGACTTGAACCACGGTCGACTACGTGGGAGTCCAGCGACATAGCCATTATGCTAATTGCTGGTCCCATTTTTTCTTTTATTTTTATTTATTTATTTTTTTCCAGTTTATTCTCTGTATCTCCAAAAGGCACTGTTCAGTTTTCAGGCTCACTGTGTCAATCTAGTATGTCTTCAATGCCATAACAAAAGTGGTCATGAGCCTTACACAGACATAGGTCATAGAACAATGGTACTGGAGTGTATGTGTCCTGTACTTTACCTGATCTTCCATTCGTTCCGTGCCTTCTAAGACAATCTTCTGGACACTTTCTTGCCTTTCCTGAGCAAGAGAAAATTTATTAAAAAAAAAAAACCCTACATTTTGATATTTGCTTATTTTTCATAACACAGTGAAATGCAGATATATCTTTGGGTAATTTAGTTCACAAGAAAAATATTTTCCATTTTAGGGAAAAAAGGAGGGAGGACAGAAAACACTGTGTAGTTCCAAAAAGTAAAATAGTTGACTTGCACTTTTCAAATGGAACAAAATCAAGTTGAAACTGGAACACTTTCCTAATTTTAAATAGTTTTCATAAACATGATAAATAAGGAGGCAAGTCTTTAAGCACAGTAAAGACCATTTTCTAAAAGATACTATTTTTCCTTACTAGCAGGTAAAGCCTTATAAAATTAAATGCGTTAATGGATTTCCATATTAGTATCAAACTGACAAGGACAATTAAATTTGTTCTTTAGATATGACAAAAGTATACCGAAATGTAAATATCACTATATATTAAAACTATGGGAATCAGGAAAAAACAATAATTTCCTCTAGCTTAATCTATAAAATTAAAAGAAACTGGTTCTAGAAACTATTTGGTCCAATCTCATTTAATAAATTTTCAAATTTGCCAGAGGGATTGAAGGGACCAAAGGCTTCATGGCCAAACACTTATGAAACAATGATCTATAACTGCGTATATCTACACATGGTACTAAGTGAAAGAGAATAAAAGGTTTCAGAGTCAAAGGCTCCAAGCAAAATCCAGACTCTAAAAGTTACTCTAATTCCTAATTTCTCTTAGCTTTAGTAATTTGCAATGTGGAGCATTTACAATGTGGAGCTATCCTCCTACCTTCCAAGGACATTATGATCACAGACAGCAGATTAGATCTACCTGTATTTACATGGCAAATGCCAAGTAATTCATAGCTACTTTTTGACTTGAATTGTATATTATTTTTAAAAATTAGATATACATGTATCAAAGAGCAAACTTTCGAGGCTAGGTTAGCATGGTTAAGTGTAAAAGCCACTCACCTTATGCATCCATATCCTTCCTTTCCGGATAATATGTGTTAATCTGTCAACACACACTCTGTGAAGTGGGAGGTAAAAACTAAGCTCTGTCTGGGGAAGTATAATTGACAGTCCATAGGTGCTCCGATCCCCATTCCAATTCCCATCGAAGATTAATGAAACAATAATTACTCCCTTTTCAGACAAGACAAAAAACTTTACGTCTATAGCCCCACTCTCTGCATTTCGAAGGATTTCTCCATTAAGGGTGTGGTTGGCAAGAAATGTTATTTCTCCATCGCTGAGAAGTACCTGCTCTGTCTTTGGAGCCCAAATGTGTCTCACTCTAGGACCAAGAATATTGTCCCAGTAAGCAAAGGTAGCTGCTAGTAAAGGAGATTCACCACTTAAAGCGATCTCTGTCTTGGCAACAGCTGGAGATGGTGGTGGGCAGAGTGTCGACATCACTGCATCCCAGTTGTCACATTATTGAAAAGCGCCAGAGACATCTAAACAATGACATACAAAACCATGATTAGACATATTAGGTTTCTCCTCTTAGTCAGGAAAGATTTAGAAGTCTGTCATCTCCTACCAGGATAGAGACATCAACTGGCATGGGAAGTACTCATTAAAAGTTTGCTGATATAATGATAACTTTATGAGGCATACTAACTTACTGCTTATATTCAGGAGATAATTTAGAAATCTAAAATATTAATGAACTGAAATAAAAAGGCCTTTCTACATTTATGTGAAATGTTATACACTAAAGCTCATCAAACAGACTTTCACAATTCCCGAATATCTGGTTTACGTACAATTTTGATATGACTGAATGTTTGGTCCCTAAACTATTGTAACTCAAGAGGAGTATAATGAGGTGAAGGCTCAGCTAGAGACCTTGATACTTATGCACTGAACTGTGACCCCAAAAAGATGTTCAAATCCTAAGCCCTGACGTATGTGAATGTGACTTTATGTAGAAATAGGTGTAATCAAGTTAAGACAGAGTCATACTGGAACAAGGTGGCCCCTAAACCAATGACTAGTAATGGTTACAAGGTGAGAGAGCAATCTGGAGATACAGTACATGAGAAGACAGCCATGTGAAGACAAAGGGCAGAGACTGGGATGACGCAACCAAAAGTCAAGGAAAGAGTTGCTAGTCACCGTCAGAAGCTAGGAAGAAGAAAGGCGTCTTCACTACATTCTTCAGCTCATCCCTTCCTGGCACCCAGATTGTGCATTTCTAGCTTTAGAACTGGGGGAGAATCTACTGTTGTTTTAAGCTGCCCAGTTTGTGATCCTTTGGTACAGTAATCTTAGAAAAGTAATACAACGTTTAACAGTGAAAAAAACCTTAAACCTGCTAACAGAACACCACCACCACCACCATCACCACCACCACAAAGGATGTAAGACTGAAAAAAACACAAATCTGGAACCATAGAAAAGTGGGCAAATATCCGCAACAAACTTTCTGGGTATCAAAATCAAGACAAAGATAAATACATTTAATATGCTAGTCAAAAAAGCATCATAGCATTTTATCAATACAAAAAGAGTAACGCCTTTATACTAAATGCCTAAGATTTAAAAAAGCTTCAACTACTTAGAACATGTAAAAAGCAAAAAGACTGGCTGGGTCCTGTTCAAGCCCTTCAATCTACTGAGAAACTAGACATAAAGATGGTGAACAAGCTCAGAGTCAAGCTGGAACCCGGGGCTTTTGGTCTTGCTTAACTTGCATATCTCAAAGGGACCCACTCAAATACTGAGAAACTAGACATAAAGATGGTGAACAAGCTCAGAGTCAAGCTGGAACCCGGGGCTTTTGGTCTTCTTGCTTAACTTGCATATCTTAATCCACTCAAAGGGTCCACGGGATATTATTAAACTAACCATTTCTGCAAGTATTGAAAATGAACACCTATAATCAAAGATCAAAAATGTAAAAAATTATGATAATTTAAGGCAAGTCTAAAATTATGAAATCTATTTATCACAACAGTAATGGAGAACAGCTAGTAAGTGTGTTAAACCTATTTCTGCCAGTCTGATTGCTTTGGGAGTTAACATCTATAACTACATTTATGTCAAAGCAAGTAACTTTATATCTACATGTTGACAAGTGTGGTCAGTTGGTGAACTCTCTTGAAAAGCACAGTGACATCTGTTTTTAGAGCATTAGATGAGGGCTTATATCATATTATGAATAGACTTACAGAGCCTGGCAACATTTAACTGTATGTATGCACAGTAATGGTTTAATATAAAGATAGTTTTTACATGTGTATTTTTTATTTCAGAAATTCACTTAGATAATATTTACTTATTAATACGTTACACCAATTTAATAGTCTTAAGAGATGACATTTGACAGCTGTATATAAGCTATGCAGCTTGTTTAAAATATTCACTGTTTTGGGGTCAGCCAGAAGCATGGTGATTAAGGCAGCTGAATCCCCTGTGGCCAACTGTGAGGTTCAAAGTCCTGGACCCAGCAGCTTGAAAAACATGCCAAATGCATGTACTTGTGTACTCAAATTCTCAAGCAGAAAACGAAGAGGGGACTGTAGTATGACCATTCCTTCTCAGTGTGCGTTCTCACTCTCCTACTCTCTCCCAAGGGAGTGTATGTGCCCTACAGCAAATTTAAAAACAAAATCCATTCTTTTTACAATTTCAACAGTCAGTTTTTACAATGATGTAAACTGGAATGTAACTTTGAATCAAAACCATAATGTTCCTTAGAATTAACATTAATGTATTAATCACTGACAACAGAAAACTAGAGGCCAAGAAAATGAACTAAGTAAATACACAGTTACAAAATTATATTGTAAATATATTTTTCTTTTTTAATAAAATGTGAATAATCACATATACATTATTATAACTGTAATATTTCATTATATTGAAAATAAAAGTATTTCCTAAAACAAGATTGAGCCCTAGAGCAAAATGTGATTGAATTATAGGAAAATTTTATTTTTTGTCTAGTTATGAAAATCGATCTATTATATTTTGCCAATAATTATACAGTTAGTCTCATCCCTAGTATAATTAGAAAAAAAATGAATAACGAGAACCCTGTTGAATTATTTAACTTTAAATCTTGCCAAAAGAAACAACCTGTCTTTGATGAGGAAAATCCATATATATAAATGTGCTTAAAAAAAAAAATCCATCAACATCAATAGTCTTTTTTCTACAAATCTTATATGTAAGTACTGTTGGCTACTCCAGAGGGTTATCAAACATTAGCCATAGTCTTTTGAGGGAAGCCAGAATCCAAACTGGGTGAGATGGTGGCTTGCCACTCCTGTAAACAAAGCACAGGGTTCATAAGCATTTATCCAATACACTTTCTGAAAATAATCCAACATGCGCAGACATATGATTACATTAATTAATATCTGCTAAAACTGTTACCATAGTGGTAAGTTTGAGATTTTGCCTTTTTTCCCCCTAAACCTTTGTGGAAAGTCAGCCCTCTCTTCCCTGCTTGGTATTTAGAAAGCTGGTTGGTCCATTATTATTGTAAATCAGCTACCTACCACCCTAAGGATTTCACTTCTTGTAACTATGCTTGCTATTTATCTTCTCACTGCTCTAAGGGAAGCAGCATCCTAAACCAGCCCCAAATGGAGCTGTCTAGGGCCACTTTAGGAACAGTGAACCGGTTTGTAATACCAGGCTATAACACCTTCTAAATTTTCAACAGGAGGCACGATTCAGAGATGACTTCTGGCCATCTCTCACAGATCCAAGATTCTCAGACTAACCTACCACTCCTTAGAACTACATTATTTAATGAACAGACCCCAAGGGCAGGCATAAAAGAAAGATATCTTCATTAGCTTTTTTTTTTTTTTAAACTTCGTTGAATACACATTTTGGCCTGCTAACATAGCCAAATAAAGACTTTTTAGTAAGTTGTATGTAATTGTTTCCTGGAACAGGTAAGTACTGGCTTAGTGTGTACACTCTGCAATATGGTCTGCAATTTCTTTTTGTTTCATATGTACAAAGAGCACAGTCATCACAAATCAGTTTCCAAGTGATTCAGGGTTATTCTAGAGTGGCAGGGTTTGGCAGAAGTGCTGGTAATATTTCAAATATTCTGACTCTATATTACGAATAGCTCATGTGTGGCAATCTTGCTTAGGTAATGTTCCCAGATCATGTTATAAAGTTTTCCAAAGTCTGAGAAAGACCATATTTAACAGTATTTTCTTTTTCTTTTCTTTTTTTTTTTAAATATGGTACACTTCATGAATTTGTGTGTCATCCTTGCGCAGGGGCCATGCTAATCTTCTCTGTATCGTTCCAATTTTAGTGAATGTGCTGCCGAAGCGAGCACTCCAACAGTATTTTCTACTCCCTTTCTAAACCTTTTGTACACAAGAAATGTTCGAATGTACACCCTTCCTTTGCACCCCCAGTGATGGATGGGAACAGTCTGAGCATGAATCTGTCCACCTGCCACAACCAGACTGTACTCCACTGGAGCCTAATAATCTCTATCGCAGCTAAAAGGGCCATCCCTCCTGAGCAAGGGCACAACCTCCCTCCTTTTCCAGAACACAAAGCCCGGTGGAGTTCAGCGTGGCCAGAAAGACTGTGTGGACACAGACGTGTAATCAGTGCACTTCTTTCTGCAAATGATTTCCATCCGTGAAATGATGCCCAAGTTACAACGCTGACTTCCTTTAAGTAAGACTGTAACCTCAGAGCTGTGAAGCAACTAGGTCATGTCCCACAGAGTACACTCAGTCTAGCACTGCTGCTCACACTTAAGACATCAGCACTCTTTACAAACGGAATTCTGTAGGCGTGCAATATGTCCACACCCCCGCCACGTTCAGCGTTATCTTCCCGCCGGCAGGGACCATCTAGTAAACTTCAACCTGGTCCCGAGGAGCTGGAAGCCATCTGCCCTCTGGCCTTCTTCCCGGCCAGGCCTCCCGGGGCCCGAGGTTCCTTTCCGCGGAGCCCACAGAGACAGCGTTCCTGGCGGGTCACCGCTGGGTCCCCAGGAAGGGGCCGGTTCTAGGACTGCTGCGGGAAAGCAG